TGCTGCTCCCTCGTCAATAAACCTAGCAACCCTGACATCAGCCATATCTATAACATGGAAAAGCAAGCCTGATCCATCACATTCAGAACAGAATCCTGACTTCTCCAAATCAAATTTCCAGACCATAGAGCTATCGCCACTATAAATCTCAGCATCAATAAGTTTTTGGCCATAGGGATTCTCCCATGAAAAGTTTGTGGTTGAAAGAGGCAGTAACTGGATCCATGCATCATTGCCAAATCCAGATTGACGAAGTCTAATGACCATCCTCCTCGTCCTGTTCTCAATCCTATCAAGCATATATAGCAGAATAACCAGATAGAATTGGAGTTAATCAGAAGCTTGAAGTAGCAGACCTGCGACCGTAACTAAAGCAAGGTTAATTAGGTACCTAATTGGACCCCTTGTTGATCCAAGGCGAAAAACAACTATGAAACGTGACCCCTCCTCAAAGCCACGAATTTCCATCTTCAAAAATCTTCGCGTGCCATCGTTTCTCCTCAAGACAAGAGGAACTGTGTCCTCCTTAACAATTTGAATAGGAAATGACCAATTTGTATCATCCAGTCGGACCTTCAAAATTGATATGATATTGTAAGTGAACTTGCAAGCTATCAGCTAAAATAATGCAGTCAACTCTCAAAAACTTCAATGGCTAACGATCAAGAAGGCAGAAAAAAGAGGAATTATGCGGCATTATTGACATTTCCCTTCCAAAATGAACACGCAAGAAACTTCACCAGGAAATTTACTACATATCCACACTTTCAATCTAGCAAAGCCTAAGGCCACAATTCTATGCCATGGTCCATAAACTATGGTCACACAGGTAATCCAAATAGTACCTTGTTTAAACAAATAGTCTAAAAGTGCATGGCAGCATCTATAATGGAACAAAATTACTTTGATTAAGGCATCAGAAATGGCACATAATACTTATATAGCACCATAAATACACTAAATGTCCAAATGAGAATTATATAATCATAAAAAGGTTAAGAGATACATATTCCTCTTAGAAAAATAGAAGATCAAAAGACAAAAGAAGACTGTTCGTATCATTCATGTTTTCAGAAGACGGTAAGAAAGAAAGAAGAGTGGACTATGTGTAAGACCATAATAGGGATGGATTCTCCAGAAAAAAAGCATTCTTTAATTTAATTAGCAGTTCAGATAACACAGTATAGAGAATCTACTCACCTGGAGTTCATCAGGTCCACCTGTGTCACGATATATAAATGAGACTCTGGCATCAGATGCACGCAAAACCTTTGGCTCATCTTCGCTGCTCAATCTCAAAAATATGTCTTGACCAAGTCTATTGGTAAATGTAACAAATGGTCGAATTGTAATAACCTGACAAAAGAGCAGGTAAATAATCAATAAAAATGTTTGAATCCGATTTTATAGAAGTTTGAGAGCGAAGCTGCTGCTGTTGTTGAAACAGAACCTTTGTTGGAACAGTTTGATAAGGGCAAGGTTTTGATGATACAAAAAGCCGCATGCAATTTCCATCAGCGCTGTAGGCGCAGAAATCCAGCGAGCCATCCTGATATCGAGGACGGATGGATAAGTTATAAACTTGGATAAAACATAGTATACCACACAAGATTAAGATTCTTTACCATGTCACCCAACGGAGAAAGATCTTTAACAGGACCAAAACTCTCCTCAGTAGACAGGTTAATTGATGCTGAAAGGCCTAGTAACTTGAAGTTTAAAACAGACGCAATTGTATTTCCTTCATATATTTCCTCCTCAGAGATCTCCTCTAGGACAAGTTCATTATTCCTTTTAGATAGAAAAGGGAAAGCAATCTTCTTTGTTGTCCGCCCACTCAAATCGATAAGCCTGAAAGTAATAGGTGGACATCGTCCAACTGAAAGCCAAAAAGGAGCATAGACCTTGGTGATCTTTGCTTGCAGAGGCCTTTCATGGGTATGCACATGTTCAGCAATTACTTGAACAATCCTGCAAGAGCCAGTAGCTTAAGGCATTAAGAATGAAAATTAAATTCACCTATTTCACAAAATTGAAGGAAAGAACTTAATCAGCTCTCTTATTTTCTTTGAGACCTTCCAGAAATTGAGCTTCTTAGATTTATTGTCTTTGAAGGTGCCTTCTTAGGATGGGATATGAGTATAGCCTCCTGTAAAGAATGTTAAGAAGTTAGCATCATTTTAATGCATTCCAAGAGACACCAGAATCAACTGAGTTGACAGAATACAAAGTAATCACAACAACTAACATGTAATGGCAACCATCCTCTTTGTGGAAGCAACGAAAAGTACAGAGGATTCCTTATGTTGGCATTATAAAACTTGACAGATTCACCAGGACAGACTACCCCTCTATCGCAAGTGAGAAAATGACCATCGACTTGCATCTCAAGAACAGAATATTCAGCAGTAAGAGGAAGATAATTGGTAATCGCAAGTGGTGGCCTGATCACGAGGGTCCAATCTTGAATAGGATCAGAGTGCATGTCCTTTGCAATCTCTGTTGCTTGTATGCTCAAGCAGAACCACATGCCCCGGTTACTATTGGATGAGGTTCCACTAACTACAGGGCAGTATAGGAGTTTCTCAGACTCACTGAGAATGGACACAGATATTCCAGAGCTTTCTGCTGGCATCCCAAGATCCTGAGTGTTTCCAGACATGTCCATTACAGAACTCCACGAATATTCTTCAGTTTTTTCCAGGTTTGAAGGCCTCACTTGCAGTGCATAAAGTCCAGAATGGGTCAGGACAGATAAAGGCAAGGGAACAACTTCACCAGGCCTTACAGGCCCAACATAAATATGAGCCTGGGGATCTCTCGGCTTGCCTTTCCTATTCCTAAGCCACCGCCTCTGTCTTGCATAGTTTACAGATTTTAGTGGATTGGACGACTCTGGCCATTTCAAACTATTGAAATCTGGAGCATAAACCCATCCATCAGCAGTGTTCACAGAACTCTTATCTACATGCCATTCATCAACCCATTCCCAGCCTGATGGAACCTCAACTTCATTTCTCCCCTGCCCAAATGACAGAAGTTGATGGCTTAAGACCAGAAATAAGAGAAACCAATTGCTACATTCAGGCACAAAAGAAAATAAAATCTGGTGACATACCTCATTAACGTCAAACCACCCAATATCACGATTATATTTCTGGGTCTCAAAGAACTCATCTGTCACAATTTCATCACCATAAACCTTTTTTCTCTCATCATCATCTGTTCTTTTTTTCTCATTTAAAGCACTGAGCATGAGCTGTAAATCCAGCGTAAATTCGGTGTCGTTACGAACTGAAACTAGAGATCTAATATTGACATATCGATTTCCATCAACTATGCTCACTTCACTGGCAACAACAGTATTTCCCAGTCGCCAACAAGCAGCAGGTGCAGCATAATTCAGCCTCACAGCAGTCCAAGGCCCCTCCCTGGTAGGACTAATCTGGATAAACCCAGATTTTGTCCGAGTGTTAAAGTACTTCCCACTCTTTTCAACTTCAAGTTGAGGAGACAAGTAAACAGCCAACTTTATTCTTCCTGATGAATTCATTTCTTTTCCTTCACTAGTCATCATCTGCATTTCATGGTGAGATAAGCAAGACACCATAAAAAAGAAGCTAAAAGGGAAACAGTAATATTTTCCACATTTTCTTTTCAAGAGTAATATACAAAGAAGAAGGAACAACAACAACAACAACCAAATGTAATCCCACAAGTGGGGTCTGGGGAGGGTAGGATGTACGCAGCCTTACCCCTACCCTGGAAGGGCAGAGAGACTGTTTCCGATAAACTCTCGGCTAAAGAAAGGATGGAAGCAGCACTTATAGCAGGTAATATCAATACAAGGTATTTAGAAACAAAACCCAAGATAGCAAAAGAGAGTATGAAAGAAGCACTAATAGTCAGTAATAACAGTACAAGATATGAAATGATAACAAACTAAGGGCGTACGGAAGGCAAGTAACAACATTGCAAAATATGTGGTAATAGCAAACTAAGAATAAAAGGGATACCAAACTACACTAATACTATTGAACTAAGGAAAACACAGGGACAAAGAAGAAGGAACACGAGAAAATCACCATAGACCGCGAAGAGGACAATGCTAGCCAATTGAGTTCAAGTGAACTATTGTAAGACACTGGATTCTCCTGGGGTCTAGATATATGGTTTAGAGGAGCTGATGAATAACCAACAATATCACCTGCAAAGAATAGTTCAAATTAAAAATATAGCACCACATATTGAACTAATCCGTATCAAGTGGCCAACTCAGGTGCCTGTTAAGCTATAGATACAAATACAACAGGACCGGTAGAAATTCTGATCAGGCTTTAAGCATTAATTTCTAATAACACATTCTCTCATTTTCCGAACAAAAAAGTTTGTAGTTAATGAGAAGACCTATCTTTATGATTCGATAAAAGATCCCTAAGCTTAAGCTTGTGGACGAATAAATCCAATTAGAGGAATATCTCAATAGCAAGGGCCACCTCAGAAGCCAATGAAGAGAAACTAATGAATGTAGTAGGGTCAGTTAAAAATCAGGTTTCTGCTACAAAAACCCATGCTTTTACTTGCAATTCAAGAAAATATGGGATGTACGCCCTGCAAGTTTCTGTATGGTTTTAAACCCATTTCATGCTTCCAAATGTTCTATTTTAAATAGTTCCAAGTCAAATGGGAAACTTTGAGAACTTTTCTTTGTGATAACTTACACAACTAATCAATGAAATAAAGACATGAATATCCCATAAAAGAGATGAAAAAAGTAGCCCCATAAAAAGACATCAACCTATTCACTTGGGAAATGTATCATGTTACTAAATTACAATCAGTATAATGAAGTGGAAGCATTGGAAACTCAATCTACTATGAAAACAAGTAGCAGATGGTTTTGTAAAGACACAGGTTCCAGTGATGAAGAATCCGTATGAGGCCTTTATCCAAACACGCACAACAACACGTCTTAAGTTTAACTTTTATCTAAACATAAGCTGGCTGCAATTAACCAGATTCTGATTCTTTCTGATAAGCAGATTCAAGAATGTAACTAGACTTCCCAATTACTGCTCTTGACCCTATCATAATCATTTTTTCACAATCATTCCACTCATTATACAACTGTTTTACTGATTAACCAAATCTAAATAAGTTCGCCAGTTCTTGAGTGTGACCAACAAAGAGAAGATTTTCGGATATATTGGAACTCTTGATCGCTTGAATTCATGAAAATCGGAAAGTGGTAAAAGGACAAAATCCCCAGAAATCAGTAGCTAAGAATACCTCTTCCCATATCCATCACGACAAGCTCCAGAATGCAAAAATCCTGTTTGGAAATGGAAGCACATGATCGAAAATTTTCAGAAAACAATGAGAAAAAAGCCAAACTTTAAATAAATTGCAAGATAACAAAAACACCAAACAATCTAGAAACCAAAAACAAAAGTAGTATATACAGAAATTCTAGAGAGGAGAATTTACTATAGACAATAGATCCCAATGTTGCGACATCATAACCTTAAAAGACTTGTGTCTTATATGTGTTTTAGACATAGATGGCAGAATTTAACTAGTAAAAAATATATGGCAATATCCATCGACAACTACAATTCATGCACGTAGGTGGAAAATGTTACACTTATATTCAGAATTATTGGAGGGAAGGATGGCTTGGGGAGGGTGAAAGGGAGCTGGGTGCCCCTACTTATCTATATTGAAAAACAAAATTATCTATTTACTTAATCCTTCATAATTCAGATGCTACCTTCATTTAATGTCCTTTACTATATTTCTTTTGAGATCTAATATAATGATATGGCCTTAGGGTACCAGTTTGGCTCTCAACTACAGGGTGCAATGGAAGGAAAATGTATCTTTGATATGCTTTATCTCTCTTTTGTGACCTCTATATGATCCTAAATGGTACCAAGCACACATCGAGAAAGGGGCACGCAATGTGCTAGGCAAGTCAAATGAATTTTCTCCTTGTTTTGGTGATTGGAGATCCTCATGATAAAGCACATTGAAGAACCTTGACTCAGAGAGCCGTTCAGTGTTGTTATTATATCTGACAAGAGCTATGTGATCACCAGCTGTACTCAGTGCAGTCCAGCCAATTGCTTAATAATGTATGTTCCAGCGACTCCAGAAGCAGACATAAAAATGTTGTGTTTGCAGGAAACACAGAATATAAGATTGCAGTTGTTAAGCATAATATGAGCAGATTGTTTTTTGTTTATATACAATTGAAAACAATTTTCATTAATAAACCCTTAAAAGACTTTATTTCTGTATCAAAGATGGAATAAGCAAGAGGTACACAAAATCAGCACCATACAATGGAGTTCAATCCGAGAAGTTCATGTAATTGTCTATAAAACTTGGAACGTCACGAGGTACTACAAATATTAACCACCCCCACCACCCTCAAAACATAAAAAGAGCATTATGGAGTATAGAATACTCTGTTTTCAACACCTTCAAAAACTCTTCCATTTCTGCCTCACTACAGTTCACATTGTAATGATTCTTTCATTTGTATTTGCTTCTTTCAACCATTTCCAAATTCAAGCTATAGAAAGAATGACTAAACAACTTAACATAAGAATCTTGCGAGATGAAATTGAGTTACCCATTACGGCCAACAATTCATTGAATCTGAACTTTTAGATGATTATTTATTAAAGGATCAATCGATTCAATTTTAAACTAGACGCGACCTCTATGGCACTAAGCATTCTATGAGCAAACAGAGGTGATATGTCGTAATTGTTTATGTATAGGGCAGATGTAATATCATAGTAATATGATTTCATGATGTACAATTCCTACAAGACTTTTGTGGAGGCAGAGAGTACAGACCGGTGAATCAACTTTGAAGAAAAATGCTTCATTCCATTTCACTGAGATTACATCAGAAGATATAGAACCATATGAGTTATTGCCACGAGTACGTGCATTTTGTTGAGTGGACAGAGATTGATTAGGGTGACTCTCATCTGGAGCAAGACGGACTTCTACTGCATACTCATGAGAAGACAAGCCTTCAACCTGTTGGAACTGCATTTCAAAGCCGTAAATGTAAGCTAAAACACAATAACTCATACAACAAGATTCCCAAGATTTCAGACAAAAATTAAAAAAACATGTTATAGATGAGCCAATTTTGTAAGAACTAGCTGATTCCAACTAAAAGTTTAAATGCCCAGGGCAGAGTATTCAAAAGCCCTGTCGGAGCTTTAAGCGCAAAGCGTAATTAAAGCTGGCTTTAGCGACGGTAAGCGCCAATGCAGAAAATAAAAAATAGAAATGTAATGCATTGAAGAAAAGTTATTTGGATAAAAGAATGGAAAAACTATAATTAAGCTCTATGTATGCTGATGTGACCTTAAAGCTAGAACCTATGGGTGAAGGTGCTCATGCCTTAACAACTCTCAGTCAGATACAGGACACTTTTCTTTATTTATTAACCGGTTCGGTTCGGTAATTTATTCGTTTTTTTTATTAAAAAAAATTAAAACATACCCTAATTATTCAGCATGGTTATAGATTTATGATGGAACCTACAGTTTATTTAAAAAACAATATTGGTTCGGTCGGTTAGATTGGTTTTCAAAGAACCATTGACACAACCATAGGCTATGTACGCACTCCATACTGAAGACATACTTCTAATCGCTAGATGTTATAGAGGATAGAATCTCAACAACCACTTCCCTGGTAAATGTTTCTAGGTAGCAAATCACTTAGACCCTAACTACTTCGCAGGACTACCAGTCAAGAAGATGATTTTCTTCTCTCTCTCTCTCCAGAGCACATGCACAAGTATCTCGGTTTTGTTGAATTGTTCAATACACGCCCTCATGTGTATGGTTCAGAACTTTTTCCTTAGTCCAAGTCCATAGAACTATTTTTTTATGAAGGGTAACAGTGAAACTCGACCTAGGATCTCTGCTTGTTATAACACAATATTGAATTGAGCAAAAACCTTAGTTATACGCTAAAGCTTTTGAAGAGGAAACACGATTTATTTATTTGTCTTCAACAATTTTATTCTGTTATAGAAAGTTCTTAATAAAGACATGAAATAGAGCAGAATTTACATAGACAATCTCATGCCTTGAAAAAAAGAAGCAATATGCAACTCCACAAACATCAATTATGAAACAGCTAGTAATTTTCTTAATTTCCACGTCCTCTATTAAACACAACTCTCTGAGTCATTTGGTGCTGATGTCTTTTACACAACCTTTAGCTTGTCTATTAGCATTATCAAAGAAACATACCTCTGCCTCTGCTATTATTATTGTCAACATGGATTTGCCTTTTTCAAAAAGACTTCCGTTCAAGTGTGAATCCAACATATTCTTTGCAACAGGTACTTTAATTGGTTTGCTATCTCCAGACGGCATTTTAGTTATGCTAGGTAGTCCCCTGATTTCCGTAGCTCTTATGAAAATGTCCTGACCAAGTTTATTCTGTGGGATAATGAAATAATTTCTTCTGTGATGAACATCAATGATGGACCTGCTTCCTCCAATTGGTGAGACAGCTTCCTGCCAAATAAAATTCGAAAAACGGGGATATGTCTGTCACTAACAGGAGGAGGAGGATATGCTAGATATCTCATACACTATCTTATGAAGTACAGTTGATTAGATATCTAGTTTGACTAATTTCTTAGATTACTCAAGTAATGTGTCCCAGATATTCGGTAGCATGAAATAAAAAAGTGGTAATATCTCATGTATATGTACAAGTAACAGCAGGTAGACGGAGTGAAATTTATAGTGTCAAGTAATGATATCCTTGAATGTGTGTGCTCCATGATGAAGAAATTGATACCGGGCTAGAATATTTATTAAAGTAAGAAGATTTGCCTGGTAGGATTCCTTGACACTGCTCAGATTATTCCAGCTGGCATAAGCCTGAAATATTGTGTTGGCATTACACACAGATATATTTAAGTTCAAATCCCCAGTAGATGCAAGACGAAGCTGCGAAGCTGCACCAGGAGCATTCACGTCGTACTGATACCTGAATATTAAAAAAAAATCAGTCTAAATAATAAATCCTAAAACTGAGGTCCTCTAATACATGCTGAACATTCTGCAAAAAGAAGGATTATAGGCTAGGCTGAAACCAAATCGCCCCAGCAACTACATCTCTCTGATAAGGACTACGCAGAATGTTGAACCCGAAATATAAGTAGACCTCTCACAAAAGCAAAGTTTGCCAGTCAAACACAGGCATAGAATTCAGAGTAGGAATAATTTGACAAATCATTCTTGCTTCCAGTATACACACAATTCGTACTATAATGGCAAGGTTGAAAGAAGTTAGTGGTCCAGACCACAGTTATGATCCAAATTATCAAAGGCCGAAAAAAAGGTCATTGCAATTGCACCTGAACATGTATAATATGTTAATTATTGGAAAATGAAACAATATTTGGGCAAATTACCACCAAAAAAAGGGATAATATTTGGCAAGACAAGAAAGTAACTTGCTCTTTGTCCACAAAGTAGATAATTTGAATGGAGTTAAATAACTTGCATATAAACAGTCGTTCCACATGAAGAGGAAGAGAGCATTTTATACGGTGTGTCACGGTAGAGTACCAGGGTCCCAAAATTCTAGTTTCTATTGCAAGGAAAATATTAATGTAAGAAGCACTGGGAAGTTCACAAAAGTTTCGACGAAGAAAAACCTCAATAATCCATCAACTGGCTCCAAAAGAGGCTCCCAAGAGTCATACTTATCATTGTATGATCTAGCGGCCAAGGAGAAGGTCGCACTGGAATTCAGATAGTCAGACCTTTGATGTAGATTGAAAGTTATGCCACTGAAAGACACATTACATAGAGGAACCATCTGCAGATCGAGTAGAACAGTAGAGATGTCAGTTGACAACAGATAGACCCTGTCAATGTAATCCAGAATAACAAGTAGCACGTAGAAGCATTAAGTCGAGGAAATTTGGAAACTTATTTACATGCTACTACATCAAAAGGTGATCATACATTATTCTTGATATTATAGCAAGGAGATGCCACATAGGAGAACCTTCTAGTAATACAAGTTGAACAGAAAATGTTTTGCGGTTTACATGTGTCTATAACCTAACAGAAGTATCGTCAACACAATTGCTGTTTATACTATCAATAATACACCTAGTTGCGGAAGAAATTAAAGCTACTGGAAAGCATAAATAGATTACCAAGCCACCATAATCATCAAAGAGGGCTGCAGAGAATGTTCTGATTTCTGCGTCAACCACCATATCATCTGGACCACTAGCCATATCTCGATCAGCAAGCTTTAAAGCAAGCCTCTTTGGAGGCTTCTTGAAACCACTGCGAACAATAAAGGTTCCTAACTCATCTCCAATAACCCATAAACTAAATGGCTCCTTCGTAAATTTAGCATCAGATGTATCCCAAATGCTTTGTTCCGAAAATTGATCACTGGCAACAATATCACTGCGGATGCATCTTAAGGAGTCAAAATCAGATTGCTTTGGTGCACCTTTACAAGCTATACAACCCAAGGACACAAATCCTGGAGGAGGCTGAGGCATCCAAAAAGATATACTATCAACTGATCTATGTTTCTTCATCTGTCCCACAAGCTTAAAATCTGAAGGGGCTTTGTAAAGCTCATCACAATCATGAAGTACGATACAAGTATTTGGAGGCTCATACCCCTGAACTGCAATATCACCAAAATATACCTTCCCTTGAGGAATAATAGGGCGCCATATAGATAATTTCTTTCTAGATCCAGAACCTTGATTCCACCAAATTAACCTAAATGTTGCAATGGCTTCAGACCTGCGACCAGAGTTTACAGTGGATGACCTCTCTGATTGAACTGCATGATTTCGACTAGAGGAAGCCCCGGTTTCTGAGCTCTTCGATGTTTCAGAGAAATCTCTGGGAAGCCCAAAGAAAATATGCCGAAGATCATATGCTCTGCCACACAACTCCAAAGTAGTTGGATCAGAAGGCAGGAAGGTACCAATGGAATTATCCACACGCCAGAATGCCAAGTTGGAAGATCTGGGACAAGACTAACTACAGGTTAGAATACATTTTATATTGAAAATCATATGTTGATATCTGTAACTGCATTACAGACCAGTAAAATTAATTACAAGCATGCAAAACTAATATGAGTCGTATGATTAGACTTAAACTTAACTTGGAAGAAAAGCACAAGACAAGAACAGATTTGTTTTACCACGGGTGTTAAATACTACTGCCACCTATGATCCCATGAATTAGAAAGAAAACAAATCAAATAACTTCACATACCTACTCATAATGTCAATATTAACACAATCTCTCAGATCACATGGTGAAACTAAAGAAGCTAAGATGCACCAGGCTGACGATATTGGAGGTTGCATCCTTCCAGGAGAGACTACACAGCCCACTGCAACATAACCTTTAGGTGCTTTAGGGAACCAAATGGAACAGGTGCTATCTTCTTCAGATAAACATGTGGTTGTACCCAATTCACCATCCTTGTATGAGGATGAGGGCCAAATAAGCATGAAAGACTCTGGCCTCTTTACTCTGACAAAGCTGGTATTCACAGCAATGATTCCTTTTGTGGGTGGCTTGTCGCTGTTGAACTAGAACAGTTAGTGTCACAGGCAAATTTACAAAGGCAATAGAGAAAACGAATCTGCGGAGATTTACTAACGTTGGTGTCAGATAGTCACCAACTGTTGCATAACCAGGCGGAGCACGAGCTCTCCAGAAAGCATATATCTGGTTAGACGGACCTGTGATGAAACAATCAACAAATGTCATTTTCATCAGTTTAGATCTCTCTTTAATGCATGGATAAAGTAAATTACTCTGTTTGGATGCACTGTGTCATACTTTTGATTGTCCCAATTTTGTCAAACTCGGAGCACACCACCGTCATTTTCTTTGATGTGGTCCTCAAAAATGCCAAAATATCATCTTCAACTTCCAAAAACAGTCTTAAGATGCTGAATGAAAAGTTCATAAAAATATCGGAGACAGCCAACTGTATATTTGACTTTCCGGAAGCATTAGAGAACTTCACAGAGGTATCAAAAGGTTCCACTATTCTAACTCCATTGCTCTCCATAGTTAATCCAAGAACATTTGCATTCATGTCAAAGGTATCACCTTTTAGAACAATCCTGGAAACATCATGGTCAAGTTTGTTACAGAATACTTTTAAGAGAAAGCAGAGCAAGGGACGACCAGGCGTCCTCAAGTTACACTGTGAAAAAACAATAGAAAGACAAGATATATTGATTGCTTGATGATTTATGAATACAAGACACCTTTTTATAGCAATTAACTATTACATAGTGCTCTGTATATATTAATAGGCTTAGTGTCCCACATTAGAACATAGGTAGTATGTACTATGTAAAGTATATGTATAAATAGGGCTCGGAGTAAGGAAATAGTTATGATACATCACAATAATATTTTTCCGTGCCTATATTTCTCACATGGTATCAGAGCCGGGACAATACCAATTCTTCATATACCTGCTGTTGGGCCTCGATTATATTATCCACGCTCCAGATATCCCAGTCCTGAGCATCCGGGGGAGTGTTGGTTTCCCCCATGATAACAACAACTACTACTACTACTACTACTAAAAATAACTTGAAATTAAAAGTAAAATTAAGAAAAAGTGGAAGCAAAGACTTGCACTTTATCCCCTACATACACCGGAGGCATATTTTTTAATTTCAACAACATTGCAGTTACGCGAGCTAAATCCATCAGTCATTATAGCGAAAGCCACAAGGACCGATGGAAACACACATAATGTAAGAATAATGTATACTTCAATGTCAAAACCAAACACCTCATCATAGTCCCCAATCAACATGCAAATGAAAGGTAACACAAGAGCTCTTGGACACTAGAAAGAACAGATGACAGAACACTCATGATCACATATTAACCTCATCGGTCTTTGATAACTATATATATCAACCTATTCTGAAAACCAAATTCTACTAATTATAGATTTCTGTCCAACATACAGGGTTTTTCGTAAGATCATTGTGAGAATGCACGGGAGAAAAATCTAATTATTAACAATGATATAATATATATTCTACTCCTACTACATATGGGACTAGGAAATATGCATAACTCCTACTACATATGGGACTAGGACTATTTACACAACTATCTAATACTTACCCTCAAGCCGGTGTATACAAATCATATGTACCGAGCTTGTTACAAATGTAACTAATACGAGGACCAGTGAGGGGCTTGGTGAAATGCGACATACAAGGCCACTAGACTCCCCCTGAGCAACAAAACTAGGTGGTTACTGATAAACAGAAGTTGGTCGAAATGTCGCCGGAAAATTTTGAAAATAGTGAGATTAAGCCGAATTCCACACTTCAAAATAGGTTTAAAACACCGCCAGAAAACAAAAACTTTACTGGGGAAAGGTGCACTGTTCACGCCGGAAAAAAGTTGTCAGAATTTGATGTAATTTATATGGGTAGGCTCGGAATCACTGGACGAGTAAGTCGTCCCGAAGAAGTTTTGTCAAAAAGTGGCCAGCATGGCTCACACGCGCCGGAAAAGTTATTGTAGCTCGCCGGAACCCGAGTTCTGGTGGCGCGTGGAGGCGCGCGAGTGACTTTCTGCCGGAGCGAATTTTGTCACCTGGCTTTTCCGAACAAGATGATAGTGTTGGTTTTTGCACAACACTTACCGATGAGGAGATAATGCAAATCCATCTTGAGTCGTCAACCGGAAAGACACACGGCGACTGACTTTTCTGTTCTGATGGGACTAGAATTTCTGGGGTTTGGTCGCACAAGGGTTTCGGATCTGATGGTGCACAGTGGTACTGTAGTAGTGATGAACCCTGGGAACAAGATGAAGTTGCCGGAAAATTGCACGATGATGAGATCTTTCTTCCCAGATGTCGTTGGAATGACGCACAACGATAATTTTCTCACTGAAGCTCTGATACCATTTGAGAATGCATTGGAGAAAAATCCAATTATTAACAATGATACAATGAGCTCTATATATAATACATATTCTACTCCTACTACATATGGGATTAGGACTATTTACCCATAACTATCTAGCAATCATCCTTTACACAAAATAATTGTCTTTCTAGTTGAAATTATCATTATTTTGACAAAAATTATAACGGTCCCGCGCACATTGCCAACCCAATTTCATGAAAAAATTGGCATCACAAGTTCAATCTTCTGGCTTATCTCCATAGCAATCCAAAAAAGAGGATAACACAATAGGGTCATAGGTAATCAAGAGAGGACTTCCCAACAAAAGCATCCCCAAGTAAGAGGACAACACAGAATGGTACAACAGACAATGGAAGCTAAAATGTCAAATCTTAATATCATATTAAACTACTCTCACCTAGAAAACCGAAACACCAAAAGACGCTAAAAAGGGAACATCAAAAAGGGGTAAACATAGAAAAGAAAAGACCACTATGATTAGCGAGTTGTAAATAGCAAAGGATACTAATACACAAGTTCCCCTCAAAGCTTCAAATGCAGGATACCTTACTTAATGTCCAACACAAAAACAAGAAGCTGATTGAGATATATAATTGCCTCAAGAGAGTATATAAAGGCAACAAAAGGAATTTGTAAGGTGGGTTTACAAATGTCGTGAGCCATCAATTGCCTCAAGATTTTTGGTTAGATGCATAAATATATTTCAAAAGGTATCAGAATCAACCTTTTGTAGGCCGTTCTTACTACCGTAAATCTGTATTTAATAAACTTGTGAACTCTAAAGTTGAACCCCACGTGAAAGAGGGTGTTTGGAGATACATTATTGTTTTTCAAGGGAATTCAAAGAGTTTTAAAAAGATCTTGAGTTACTCTACCAGTTGGCTTATAACTTTTGACTGGATACATAGATTCTTTCCTGTAAACTACACATGATAAGTTAATTCAATCTTCTAGATGCATTACCAAGAGTAATCTCGATCATCACAGTAACAAACGAAGGAAGAACTGATGAAGTAATCCAATTTCACGTGTCATACCAAAAAACACTTTAAAAAGTAGCAATTGGTTATTGCGGTAGCTAGCATCATTCACCAACTCATTTGAAAGTATAATAATGTCAAGTATCTTCATTAAGCATTCTTAATCTGAAGAAATTGCATAATCAAAAAATTAAGAGAGCTTGCTGAACACGCCATTTGTCGCCATCTTATTGACACTAGAAGCTTACACTGCTAAAATTCCTCAAAACTAATGGAGGGAACCATTTTAGAAACTAATTCAACAAACAAAGAATCAAGACTCTAACCAATCAACACATATCAGATAAATCATCAGTAGACTAATATAAGTATTATTCTAGAGAGAAATGGAAGGACATGTTATTCCTCCTCGATAGGCCTACCTAACCAACTACCATGTCCCAAGGAAGCTGATAGAGGACTTCCACGCACAAATTGGAAATTCCATGACACCAGGTAGAAATATGAAAAACATGCAATCCCCAACAAATACAATTAAAACCAAAAATGGAACACTGTAATGCTCAGCAGAGAGAACCAACCTGCAGAAGGCGTCCAACTGCGTGTGCAATAATTTGTTCGAAAGGGCAGCAGACTCTCCCACACTTCTTGATGTATTATAGAAGGTAAGCTCTGGACCAATAGCCTGTATTTTGTTCTCCATAAGATGTAATTAAAATTATAGCAAGTTCAAATTTCTATTAAATGACTCTTCCTAATTCAATGTACCAGATCATCAACACTATGTTTGGTCGAGAAGAAACGAGGACAGGTGGGAGAGAGGGAAATAACACAGGATCGTTATGGTGATTTCCACCACTTGGCAAGGAAGTTAAGGACGAGGGGTAGTTAAAAGCAGACAGGTTCAGTAATCAATTTCCTACCGCTTTGAAATTGGACATAAACGAGGAACACTTTACTTGCCCTCAAGTTGTATCAAAAAAACTGGATCTAAATGAGTAACTCACACTAAAAGAAGCAAAACCAAGAGGTTTTCTCCCTTTTATCCTTCTTCTCCATCATAGAATCAAACGTAGTACAAACAAACTTCACATGCTAAAACAACAAAAACAAAGCAAGATATATATGTTGTATAGTAGAGTCAAATTACTATCCAGATTGTAGACATTCTAAAGATTAAAGGAAAAGCCTCCGTTGATAAAAATGGCTGAAATTCTTCTACTGTGAATCATGTCAGCAATGATAAAATTGAGAGAAGAAATAAGTGTGCCTTCCATGTGACAAAAGTTTGCTTAAAAGATGTAAATTTTGGGGGCAGAGAAAGAGAGCAGAACTTGGAAGACCTTGTATTTTTGGTGCTAACTAAGAATCCTCATATAGATTAACATTTTTGTCTAGCAGGCTTCAATGATACTTATTGTATGCAAGGTCATTTACAATCACTGTTTCCCAACAGATTTTGAGGTAAGTATATCCAAACTGACTATGTTGAGAGGACCCATGATCTGAACCTAAGGCCACTCATGGACTGTCATTCTGCTGTTCTTAGTTACTGAAAGGCCTTCATACAACCGCTGTTTAAAAGGGTTACAACCCTAAACAAACAAATGGCACCTGCTGGAGGAAGGATACATGAACACCAAAGAGCAGCAAACACTCTTAAATGACTGCCATCAAACCATGGTGTGATTCACAATTATATCATAAATAATAAGTGCCTTTCCCTTATCAGATATATGAACAGACCTCTTAGATTGTAGATACTGAAGGTCATATTTTTTAGAATACTTAAAGAGACTTATGCACATGGCAGAAAGCCATATATGAACTATTTAGTGTATTGCTTGAAGGAAAATCTTTTACTGGTATTGCAGAAAGAACAACAAAAATAAGAGAATATTTGACCTTCAGCTCAAATATAAACTCTGCAGATCTGCTGACATTAGTATTCTGAGATGGCACAGCATCTACGGTCACTCCAGAATCATCTTCTGATGGTCCTTCACATGAAGCTTCATCAAAGAAGACTCCATCATCCTCTGAAGCAGAATAGCTGCTATTGGATCCAAGTAAAACGCATGAATCCAAATATTTTCCATTCTGAACCACAAAGAAAAAGAAAACCAACATGGACATTCCATCGCCGTCAAAACAACAAAGCTTCATAATCAAGATTCGCGTAATAAACGAAACATCCGTTTAGAGGACACACCTTGATCTTAACATTCTTAAATTGCAACTTCTTTCCACTTCCAACATAAATTACAGCCTCTTCACTCGGAGAAGAGAGATTTTGTCCTCTCCTATCTTGCAAAAACAAAGTTCCACCTCTGCCATCATATGTGAAAAGGTCATAACTTTCATCATCGGCAACCAAAGGTCTCTGAGGAGAAAGTGAGAGTTCAGCAGAAGGCTGATTATAAACTGAGTCATTAAGAATAACAGCATCTACAGCATGAGCAGAACTTCCATGGTCATCGTTTGCCAGCATACTTCGAACATTTGGTACAAAGAACTCAACAACAGCAAGCAGAAAATCAAGTGCAACTAGCAGTTGTGGCCTTTGAATGAAGAGAGAAAAAGATGTCAAATTTTCATAGAATCTTGCATCAAGAATAACCATTGCAGGTACGAGTTTCATGTCCTTGTCACTACTTGTATTGAAGGACATGCCAGCATATTCACCAGCATCAGTCACTGACTGTGAAGGATTGTACCCAATTGTTTCAGGCTTCCGAATTGCCAACCTGAGTTCCTGTTCTATACCTTCACGATTATCCATCACAGTGAAATCTTCGAGTGTCGAAGACAGAAAGCCTTCTCCTGCTGTGTTGGATTTGTAGAGAAGCCACAGACCACTTACCTTAAAAGCAAAAATAAGATCCAGATTCAGAATTTGGCAGGCATAAAATTAATAGATTAAATGAAAACAAAGATTAAACATATTTGGAAGATAGTGACGATGTGCAAAATTTATGATTAATAAAAATAGATATGATTCAAATTCCAAGAAGATCATGAACATCACAGTATGTATACAACTATCCAAAATATTGCACTTCATGCATATTTAGTTGAGATCAATTTATCTATAAGTGAGACAATACGTGTATGCATAACTGCCTAACCAGAACAAAGGTAATATACTTCATGCCGATATGTTCGTATTTTTTTATTTTTTTTTTAGAAAGGTAACGATTATATATATGAGAAAAATAATTACAAGATATGTGTCACCAAAAGAAAAAACTCAACCCCTAGTCTATCCTTTACAATTCTTCTAGCAGATCAAGCAAAGAATGTACATCCACCCTATAGCTCTCCTTGCACCAAAAATGAAACAACAAAAAACAGTTTAGCTTAATTTTCTGGTAAGAGCTTTGCTTATCTTCAAAAATTCTGGCATTTCTTTCCTCCCATATAGCCCACCATATGCAAGCAGGGATGACTTTCCACCAATTCTTATGTTGAATGTTTGCCCCTCCATTGTTCCAGCTACTAAGAAGGTTAGCAGGATTGTTTGGCATTGTCCAGGAAATTCCAGCCAGGCTTAAAAAGAAATGCCACAGTTGAGCAGTGATAGGGCACTGAATGAAGAGGTGAGACACAGATTCCCCTTCTTTTCCGCATAGACAGCACTTAGCATGCACCTGCATTCCTCTCCTTATAAGATTATCCTGAGTTAAGACTGCTTCCCTTGCTACTAACCATGTGAAACATAAAACCTTTTGCGGTGCCTTGACCCTCCTGATTTGTTTCCATGGCCATCCCTGGTTAGAGATTGGAGCATTGTTGGACAAATGATAAGCAGAATTTATTGAGAAGATTCCTGACTTGAGTCCCTTCCACCATAATGTATCTTCCTCATCTGTGAGACCTAGGAAGCCTTCTAAGGTCTCCCAGAAATCTGCCACACTTTGTAACTCCCAGTCTTGGAGATTCCTTCTATAAACTATGTTCCACCCTTGTGCGATATTTGCTTCTGCTACTGAAATGCCTTTATTTACAGCTATACTATATAAATCAGGAAATTGTTCCATCAAAGGAATGTTCCCTATCCATATGTCACTCCAAAAAAGTATTTTCCTCCCATTTCCAACCTTAATCCTAGAATTCTTAGCAATTAAATTCCACTGACCCCTAATTGTTTTCCATACACTGACCCCATAAGAAGCAATGTCTGAAAAAGCTATCGCTTCGTCGCTGTAAGCGAGAAGCGACGCGAAGCGACGGCTCATCGCTTTTCTGAAGCTGAGGCGACTCGATTTTCAAAAGTGACCGCTTCACTACCTGAAGCGAGAAGCGACGCAGAAGCGAGAAGCGAAAAAGTGATCGCTTCAGTTAAATGGGTCAATTTTAAAATTAAAAAAAAAATTGGGTCTTTTTTATTATACAAAACATAGACCCCAAAGTGAAGACATTTCTTCTCTTCTTCCATCGAGCATCGCTGCTGCTGCTAGGGTTCCAGAAGTCCAGCCTCCAGGTAATTTTCTTCTTTTTTTCTTCTTTCTTCTTTCTTCTTCTTCTCCTTTTTTCTTCTCCTCTTTTTCTCTCTTCTTTCTTCTTCTTCCCGTCGACGCGTCGCCTGCTGCTCACTGCTGGGGCAGGCAGCGGTCCTTTTATTTTTCCTTTTATTCTTCTTATTTAGCCTTTATTTATTAATTTTTGTGTGTATTTCAGTTTATAAACTTAATTATTATATTTTGAAATGTTGCTGCTTTGCCGATTTCGGTATATTAAACTTAATTATTATTGTTTTTTTCAGATTTTTTCCTTTTTCTTTGAAATGTTACTGATTTCAGTTATTAAATTTAATTTAATTAAGGTGTTGCTAATTTTAGTTATATATATATATATGTTATATTTTTAGTTTATTTCATTATGTTTGTTTTTCTTATATCTTAATAGGGATTAAAAATGTCCCAAATTTCGAAAGAGAAAGACCAGTCTTGGTGATATGGCGATAAAGTTAATGAGAAGAATAGTACAAATGTTATATGCAAGTTTTGTAACACGATTACAACAAACAATAACAAACCCACCTTAATCCCGTACGTGGGGTCTTGGGAGGGTAATGTGTACGCAGCCTTACCCCTACCCTATATAGGCAGAGAGGTTGTTTCCGATAGACCCTCGGCTTAAGGAACGGTAAAAATAAAGCAGCAAGCAATAACAACAGTAATATAATAAGGTAATGAAAGCGAGTGGCATAACAAGTAATAAAGAACTATGAATAAAAGAATGAAAAAATATTACTTGTACTACTGGTAAACCTGGGAAGAACTCACAACTACCTGTCAACCCACCACCTTAATCCTCGACCTCCACATCTTTCTATCGCTAGTCATGTCCTCGGTTAGGTGAAGCACCGACATGTCCTGCCTAATCACCTCTCCCCAATACTTCTTTGGCCTACCCTTGCCCTTCCTCAAGCCCGCCATGGTCAACCTCTCACAACTCCTGACCAGGGCATCTATGTCTCTCCTCTTCACATTCCCAAACCATCGCAGCCTCAATTCCCGCAACTTGTCTTCCACGGATGCCACTCCCACCTTATCCCTAATAACTTCATTCCTAATCTTGTCTTTCCTGGTATGTCCACACATCCATCTCAACATCCTCATTTCAGCTACTTTCATCTTCTGGACATGGGACTTCTTGACGAGTCAACACTCAGCTCCATACAACATAGCCGCTCTAACCACCACCCTGTAGAATTTGCCCTTAAGTCTAGGTGGCACATTCTTATCGCATAAAACCCCCGAAATTAACCTCCATCTCATCCACCTCGCTCCAATGCAGTGAGTAATATCCTCGGCAATCTCCCCGTTGTAACACGATTACAACAGGGGAATTTATCGCTTTAAATTCCATCTTATTGGTGGCGATGGAAACGCCACAAGATGTCTGAAATGCCCGCCGGAGGTGAGGGAGGAAATAAAGAATTTTGTTGAGAACGAGCAAAAACATAAATTAGTCATCAACCATTTGTGACCAATCTTGATGATGGTATGGAAGAAGATGAAGCTGTTGATTTGTCACTTCCAAAAGAACGGGGAAGGGATGCAATCTCTTCAAGTCATGAATCGACGGGAACGAGTAGGACTAAAGGTCCTATAGATTGTTATTTCCCAAAGAAGCCAGAAGCAAAGAGCGGTGGAAAAGATTTGCAAAAATTGCCAAGGACATTTTAAGGGATCGTGCAATTAAAGCTTTTGCACGATGGGTCTAATGATGCAGGGCTGCCCTTCAATTGTGTCAACTACACCGACACTTTTGGAGACTTTATTGAGTTCGTTGGTCAATATGGACCTGGAATAAAGCCCCCGGTTATCATGAAATCAGAGATCCTTATCTATTTAAGGAAGTGGAGGAGACATGTATGGAACAAGTATGGATGCTCCATTATGATGGATAAGTGAGCGGCAAGAACTGGGAAAATGATTACTAATGTGTTCGTGAATTCTCCCAAGGAAATTTTGTTTCTTGAGTCGATTGATGCTAGCGACGCGTCCACTGACCACATCAACATGTTCGCCTTGCTTTAGAACACCATTGAAAAGATTGGCCCAAGCAATGTTGTTCAAGTGGTCACTGATAATGCGAGTGAAAATGTTAAAGCGGGTGGGATGGTGCAAAGAGCGTACCCGAATACCTATTGGACTCCATGTGTGGCTAATTGTATCAACTTAATGTTCGGGGACATTTTCGAGGAAAAACCTTCTTTACAGTTTTTGGCCAGGGTGTTAGGGTACATTCTTATATTGCTCAGCGGCCCTTGTTTTTGAATATGATGAAAAGATGATGAAAAGATTCACCAAACAAAAATATTTGGTGAAACCGGGCAAGACAAGGTTCGCCACTGCTTTCTTGACTTTGCATAATATCCACTTGCAAAAAGTCAACTTGAGAAAGTTGTTCATTTCAGAGGAATGGAACAAGAGTAAATTTGCAAAGGAAGCTGGGGGAAAGAAGCTGCACGCATTATTCTTTCTTATTCTTTTTGGAATAATGGCCTTCGTGCTCTTAAAATTGGTGGCCCTTTGATTATAGTAATCTGTTTGGTGGATGGGGAGCAAAAACCACTAATAGGCTATCTCTATGAAGCTATGAATAGGGCCAAGGAGGATATTTAAGCATCATTCAATGATGAGCAGAAATATGCAAAGGTCTTTCAGATCATTAATTCAAGATGGACGGAACAACTTTATCGACCTTTGCATGCAGCTTGACTTATTCTGAACCCGTCACTCTTTTTTGATCAGTATGAGAATAATTCAGCGGCTAAAGAAGTGTGAAAGGGATTCCTTGAGTCTTTTATTTAGTTGGCCCAAGATGAAGGGCGGGAAGAAAAGATAGTAGATCAGCTTGCTATTTACAAGGCAGTTGAAGGACTTTTTAAGCTGTGTCTGGTTGTTAAACAAAGAGAGACGAAGTCGCCAGGTGACCGAGTGCTTCTATATTTTATAGCTCTAACTTTTAATATATTTTTTATACTTATTAACTCTTGAATATTTTTTCACTTCTATAGTTGAGTGGTGGGACCAATATGATGCAGAGACGCCGGATTTACAGACTTTCGCCATCAAAGTTCTAAGTTTAACTTGTAGCTCATCTGGGTGTGAAAAGAACTGGAACGTTTTTTAACACGTGAGAACTAAAAAGAATGATTTCGTGTATTGAGATAAAGTAAATTATCTCAATAAGATGTGCCAACTAATTAGGAGGAGTTAGGACAATTGAGATATAATTTACTTTATCTCTTCTTCTTTTTTCCTTTTCAAAAAAAAAGAGATAAAGTAAATTATATCTCAATTGTCCTAACTACTCCTAATTAGTTGGCACATCTTGTTTGCAGATTCATATAAAGAGGAGGAATCAACTAACCTTGAAGCGCCTCCATAATCTAGTGTTCATAAAATACAATAGAGCTTTGAGGCGTCGCTACAACCAACGCTATCTAATTGATCCAATTCTTTTGGACAATATTAATAAGGCTAGTGAGTGGCTAACCAGAGTCTCCGAAAATTGTGAAGATGAAGAAGTATTTGAAGGCGATTCTAATTTCACTTGGGGTGATGTTGCGGAGGCTAGTAGAGTTGGGGAGAACCCTTATGGTTTAAGGGGGGATACTTCAAGATCAAGCTCTAATAGGAAGGGAAAAAGTGTGGGTACTACAAGTCGATCCCTAATTGATGAAGATGAAAGTGATCAGAAAGAGGAAGAGGAAGAGGAAAAAGAAGATGACGAGCAATATGAAGATAATAGAGGAATTCAAGATTTTGACAATCTTGAAGAACTAGAAGAGTAGAAGAATAAGACGTTGATTCTAGTAATTTAGTGATTTTGATTCTGCTTATCCTATGGTTTATGGAGGATTTAGTGTCAAGCATGCAATAAGATCTATTTCCTCACTATGTCTTCAATGAAAATGCATGCAAAAATCAGCAACCTGTTTTGAAGATGTGCCCATTATATTGTCTTAGTGACATCTATTGACCCAAGAAACATCTAAAGACATTGTTCTTTCCTTTCACAGAAACATGAGATTAACAAACCGGAATAGCAAGATGAAAGTACAATTTGAAAGGACAACAATAATAACAAAATAAACTTAAATAATGGAGTCTCAATTACCTGCATCGTGGCAAGCGATGCATCCCTTGTCAATCCATAGTGAAGACCAAGCTCAACCAGATCAATAGCAATAGAGACCTTGGTTACAATCCACTTATCTTTATCTTCAGCTTCAGATTTAACAGCATCAGAATTTCTCACTGATAAATGTTGTGTCTTGACAGCTGAAGATGATGAGGCGTCATCTATTAGAGGAGGCACAACATTAGGAGTCTCTGAAAGATTTTCCTGCGCACATTCTGCAATTATCTCATACTCCCTGCTTGATAGAGCAGCTTTTAATTCTTCAACCTGAAATATTCAAATACCATGAGATTGGGACAATTTGATCTCCAAAACAACAAAATTCTAGGTAGTGAACGATAGAAAGAACCAAACTACAGTCAGAATTTTAGTATTAAAGTACCTTGATAGCAACTTCGATACTAGGGATTTGATGCAATAGGTCCCTCAGCGATCGCTGTATAACAATTGAAACTCCATTGATATCTTGGACTATACTTTCACCCAATTCTGAGCCAGCACCCACATTTAAATTGATGTCCTTGACCTACAGGAAGGTATATATGAGACAAATTCTCAGATGAACTATGTATGGAGAGTAACTTAAAGAAAGGGACAACTAAAAAGAATACTATTATGGTGTCTGTCTATGATACCATTGAGCTTACATTGTATAACGCAAGCCCACCAATTTAACAATCTGCAGTAATCTATAACTTCCCTGTTTAAAGGATACTCTCTTTGACAAACTTGCACAACCTTTTCAAATGCTATTACATACAAAAATTGAGCTTCAAACAGGTTCCCTGATTGGCAATATGCAAATTTTTGCTTCATGCAAAAAGCATGCAACTTTGACCGCAAAAATGAGATTTTTATTGAGTTAGACTATTTATTCTCGTTCTTTGTTAAATTCCCTTATCAGTATAAGAATATTGTGATATTAGGCCATTAGCAACTAGCATATAGATCAAAAACATAACCAACGGAGATAAAACATAAAGATCTTACAGAGATTGTTAATATTTCCATGTGTACAGCATTCATTTCACTTTTACTACCACAAAACCATTGAAACCTGTTTTGGACAGTGATGTGAACAACATCGAGCTTCAAATAACTGCAAGAGGAAACTATGAGATCAGCTATGATTATTGTTACACAGATGTGATTAAGGGTATAAATGTCTAATCCATAATCCATATATCCCCACAAAACAGATCACAGAAAACATGAAGATACAGGAAAAATCAAGGCAATACATTAGACTTTAGATTAGAGCATTGCTAACGGGTGCATATTTTAACAGAAGAACTGACTGGAAAGCATCATCACCAGAGAATTATTAACTCACTCAAGGCTATCAGTCCTTCGAGGCATTAAAATTATAGGCTTTCTTAGAGAAAGATCCAGCTTTAAAGCAGGCGATCCTTCAACCTCACTTCTTGTAAACCACTTCTCCGAGTTTGTAACTTGATCGTTTATTCTGACAACATCATTAGAACTGTTTGGAACAAGACCCATAAAGTAACTGACAATCTACAAGAAAATCATAATATATCATGAGATCATATAATACAGGAATAGCCAAATAGAAAAGCTAAAGCTTCACTACCTCTTGGATAAAGCGATTCAAATAAACAATCCGCACTTCAGACAGCTGGCCTATAATGCTGTAATCATAACCCATGTAGTCTTCATCATCAACATTGAATGAACAAAATTCTAGCTGCAATCCACAAATAATCTGACCGATTAGAGTTCAGAGAAAATTAATACATGACAACTCCAAAGAAGTGTATCAAATGACAAACCAAAAGAATACATACAAAATCAAGGACAAAGCAAATTTATGCCAGAGCGGCCAATATCTCTCAAACTGTTTGTACGTTTTGCCTGTTTTACTATATTTTGCATGAAATAAGGCGACGAACAGTAAGTATAATCTCTGCCAAAATAGATCAATCTAAGAATCAGTAGATTCTACATAAAGAGCCAAGGTATGTTGGGATTTAAAGCGCAAACTTTAGTAAAGAAAGACACATAATGAAGATAAAAATTAAGGTATACAAAATGCAAGAAAAAAATAACTACAAAAATTATGAGTACAGGAATTTTAAAAATCTATAATTAAATTGAAGGGGAGCCTTGGCGTAACTAGTAAAGTTGTTACCATGTGACCAGGAGGTCACGGGTTCAAGTTGTGGAAACAGCCTCTTGCAGAAATGCAGGGTAAGGCTGCGTACAATAGACCCTTGTGGTCCGGCCCTTCCCCGGACCCCGAGCATAGCGGGAGCTCAGTGCACCGGGCTGCCCTTTTATAATTAAATTAAATATATAAAGAACTTATATTAATCAAGTTAGGACCATCTTAGATTTCGAATTTCAAAGCAAAATATTTTTTAATTCAAATCTAAAGCCTAGTGTTTTTCCTGCACTACACTTTAAATCCGAAATACTTCATAGCCATCCATGATGGTCCCTTAACAATTCATGGACCAATTTTCCAATCCAATCATTTGTCTATTTATTTATTTACTTATTTTGTGAGAGAGAATTTGCTGACTATATTTTTTATGTAGTGCCTTTCGCGGGTACCTTCTAAATTAACTTTTTTATAGGAGTAGTTCATTGGCTAGTTTTTGTTGAAGCGCATGCCTCGGATCTTAGCGCTTTCTGTGAAGCACCCAACTTGTGTTGCGCCTGACTTCCATTAATCGTAACTTGGCCACACCTTTGACAACACCCTTTTTGTTCCAATTTATATGGTATTGTTTCCTTATTAGTATATTTTTTAAAAATGGCACCTTTCTATAATTGAAAATAATTTAATTTTAAATTTTTCATTTTACTCTTAATGACATGCTTCTATAGTCACAAAAGCATGTTTAAGACCACAAATTCCAAAAGTCAAGTCTTTCATTCTTAAACTCCATGCTCCGTCAAACAGTGCCACATAAATTGAAATGGAGGAAGAAGATGCCCAAAGAATGAAGGTGAAGTACAATGATTCCGTTGTACAAGAACAAAAGTAACACCCAAAATCGCAACAACTATTGGGGTATTAAGTTGCTCAGCCACACTATGCAAGTTTGGGAGAGAATGGTGGAGGTAAGGGTTAGGAGGACAATGTCTATCTCTGAGAACCAGTTCGGATTCACGTCGGGACGTTCAACTACGAAAGTTATTCACCTTGTTAGGAGGTTAGTGGAACACTACAGGGAGAGGAGGAAGAATTTGCATATGGTGTTTATCAACCTAGAGAAAGCATATGACAGAGTCTCAAGGGAGGTTCAATGGAGATGTTTGGAGGCCAAGGGTGTCTTTGTGGCGTACACTAGAGCGATTAAGGACATGTACGATGGAGCTAATACTCAGGTGAGGACAGTGGGAGGGGACTCAAATCATTTTCCCGTTGTGATGGGGTTACACCAGGGATCCATGCTTGGCCCGTTTTTATTTGTTTTGGCGATGGATGCACTGACGTGTCACATTCAAGAAGAGGTGCCATGGTGTATCGGAGATGACATAGTACTAATCGACGAGACGTGGAACGGTGTTAACGACAAGCTGGAGGTGTGGAGACAGACCCTAGAGTCTAAAGGGTTCAAGTTGATCAGGACTAAGACAGAATACCTGGCGTGCAAGTTAGTGACGGAGGAAGTGGGCATGGATGTGATGCTCGATTCATAAGTCATTCCTAAGAGAGAAAGTTACAAGTATCTCGGGTCAGTTATTCAAGGGAATGGGAAAATTGACGAGGATGTCATACATCGTATCGGAGCGGGGTGAATGAAATGGAGGCTAGCGTTTGTATTCTGTGTGATAAGAATGTGCCACCAAAACTTAAAAACAAGTTCTACAAAGTGGTGGTTGGACCGACTATGTTGTATGGGGAAGAATGTTGGGCAGTCAAGAATTCACATACCTAGAAGATGAAATAACGGAGATGAGGAAGATGAGATGGATGTGCGGGCATACCAGGTTGGACAGGATTAGGAATGAATATATCCGGGTAAAGGTGGGTGTGGCCCCAGTAGAGGACAAGATGTAGGAAGCGAGGCTTAGATGGTTCGGGCATGTGAAGAGGAGAAGCCCAGATGCCCCAGTGAAGTGAGGAGGTGTGAGCGGTTGGCATTGGTGGGTATGAGGAGAGGTAGAGTGAAGCCAAAAAAATATTGGGGAGAGGTGATCAGGTAGGACATGGCGCGGCTTCAACTTACCGAGGACATGGCCCTTGATAGGAGGGTGTGAAGGTCGAGAATTAGGATAGAAGGTTAGTAGGTAGTCGAACGTTTCAAGATCCGTACAGGGGGATTAGGGTTGGTTTGGTAGTGTTTTCTTACTCTTAGATTGCTAATTTTACATGTATTCCTATTACCATCTGCATTGGTTTCTTAGTTTCTTGTTGTGATTGATGCTTGTTGCTACTGCTTCATTCCATCTATTTTCTGGCTCTTAGTTTGTTGTGATTATCTTTCTGGCACTTGGTGTTGGTAACGCTTGTTTCTACTATTTCTTTCTTCCTTCCTAAGCCGAAGGTTTCTCGAAAACAACCCTCTACCCTCCCAAGGTAGGGGTAAGGTCTGCGTAAACACTACCCTTCCTAGACCCCACTTGTGGGACATCACTGATTGTTGTTGTTGTTGTTGCTATTTTTTTATAATGGTGTTGTATGGGCCAGCTTGCATACACCTCGACTATTCCATCGGGTACATCAGTACATGCTATCTTCCACCAGAACAAGTATCATGTAACTCTGCCACCAAGGCTTAGGCACATGGGAAGAAATAACCTAGTGTTTTTTTGTTTCTGCTAAGATTTGAACCCTAATCTCCAAGGATTGCACCTGTTTCATTGACTATTGGCCCCCAGTTGGACACAAAGATTTTTAAAAATTTTATTTAAATAAAAATTTCTAAAGTTTCAAAGCAGAAAAATACACAGTGGCCATTTTGATCAGACCTACAGGAGTAACTAGCAAATAAGATGTTAGAACTTCACTAATACTATAACCATAGCCAAAAAGACAACAATCAGGACAACAACAATCAATGATATTAACAGCAGCAATAGCTAGAACNGTAACTAGCAAATAAGATGTTAGAACTTCACTAATACTATAACCATAGCCAAAAAGACAACAATTACGACAACAATCAATCAATGACATTAACAGCAACAATAGCTAGAACGACCACACTAGCTATACAATGAATTACCTCTACGAAAGAACTACCACCAGGATTCCTCAT